ATGCCCGGCTAATTTTTTTGTATTTTTAGTAGAGATGGGTTTTCACCATGTTGGTCAGGCTGGTCTCAAACTCCCAACCTCAAATGAATCGCCCACCTCGCCTCCCAAAGTGCTGGGATTACAGGCATGAGCCACCACACCTGGCCCCTCATGATAGAACTCTTAACTTCACTCCCTTACATCAGCTTACTTTCCTAGTTTTTTGGATTTTTTTTGAGACAGGGTATCACTCTGTTGCCTTTTGGCTCATTCTCACTGCAGCCTCAGCCTCCTGGGCTCAAGCTCTTCCCTCCTCAGCCTCCAAAGTAGCTGGGATAACAAGCGCAGCACCACAGTTGGCTAATTTTTTTTTTTTTTTTTTTGAGAGGCAGTTGCCCAGGTTGCCCTGAACTCCTAGTCTCAAGTACTGCTCCTGCCTTGGCCTCCCAATGCACTGTGACCACACCCAGCCTTAATTTCCTAGTTTCTTTTTTTGCTTTGTTTGAGACAGGGCCTCACTCTGTCACCCAGGCTGGAGTGCAGTGGCATGATCTCAGCTCACTGCAACCTCTGCCTCCCAGGTTCAAGTGATTCTCCTGCCTCAGCCTCCCGAGTAGCTAGGATTACATGGGTGCATCACCAAGCCCAGCTAATTATATGTTTGGTAGAGAGGGGGTTTTGCCATATTTGCCAGGTCTCACTCTGCTTTTCTGGCTTCTGACAGCTATCCAGGTCTTTTCTTTACCAAATGTGAGGTTGTCGTCAGTCTTTATTCCATAGAATAGGTGGGTTTATGGGCTGAGGGTGATTGCTCTGTAGTGTGGAGTGTCGGGAGAGTTGCCAAGAGGCAGGGCTGCAAAGACACCAGACGAAGCCTATGCTGAGCACAGTGGGAGGGGCCTGAGGCTGGTTTCCCCCTGTGAAGGGTGATGTGTCTGAATCTAAAGTAGGCTAAAGTAGCTGATAACCAGTTGTCTTGCTCTTCTTCCAGAACTCCATCCGCCACAACCTTTCCCTGCATGACATGTTCGTCCGGGAGACATCCGCCAATGGCAAGGTCTCCTTCTGGACCATTCACCCCAGTGCCAACCGCTACTTGACATTAGACCAGGTGTTTAAGGTGAGGGCCCTGCTTTCCTCTAAATAGGGCCTAAGTTGGAGGTCGTCATCGCCATCTTAAAAGGAAACAAGTTCTCCTAGTGATGCTTTCATTTGATCAGGGGAGAGTTAGAAGCCAGCCAGCCAAGTAGTGACTTGCACAAAACCTGCTGAATTTAGTTGACAAATACCAAATGACACATCTTTGTGCCAAACCAGAGCAAAGAGAGGGGAGGGCTGTCCTGATCCAACAGAGAGGGCTTCCAAGGACAGTGTTTTCCTAACTTCCCTGTGAATGAGAATTGCCTGGGACATTGTTAAAACACAGCTTCCCACACCCCTCTCTTGCGGCTCTTGATTGAGTGCTCCTGGGATGGGCCCAGAAATTTGTATTTTTAGCAAGCATCTCAGGTGATTCTTACAAGAAAGTCTGGGAAAGCTTGCTCTAAAAAAGCCCTTCCTTAGGCTGGAGATCAGAAGCTGAGCTACCAGAACATCTTTTCAGAAAGAAGCTATTTTGGTATTTCAGAGTGCCCACAAGGCTGCTGGTAGCTGTAATCATTCTCCTGGGAGGGACAGTTGTCCGGGGTGTCTTTTGTCATCAGTCAGGAATAGGTGTTTTTCCCACTCTGGTCAGATACCCATATTGGTGGTAACTTCATCTCATTTCTCTCCCACAATGCCTGGCCGCCACCAGCCACTGGATCCAGGATCTCCACAATTGCCCGAGCACTTGGAATCAGTAAGGTTCTTTCCCTCTGGCTCCGGGCTTGGCCTTGTTTTCCTTTCACTGCTCAGCATGGCTTTAGTGGATGGAGACAAGATGTGACACGGGGAAGGGAGTCTATAGCCATGTGACTGCCAGCCCTAGAAGCAGAAAACTCTGAGGCTCGGGCACACTGCCTTCCTCTCCCACGGGCATCACAAGGGCGCATTGAGCAGAGCGGGGCACAGCAGGGGAACGTGCTGCAGCAGCCACATGCGTGTGGCCCCAGCCCCACGGGTGGCAGTTCGTTTGCTCACTTTGGTGCCTGGCTTTTCTTTGCCACGTGTATAGCTACCTGCTCTGACATCCTCCAAGGGTATTGAGGACATGTGGGTGAGGCAGTAGTTCCACTCTGCCATCATGTGTCTTAGGCTACCCACTAACCACAGCTTTGGAGACTGCTCACCTGCGACCATCCCCTCAGGTTGGCCTCCTCTCTCTGGGCTGTCGGTTAACTCAAGCATACGCCACCAGAGCAGCCGGTGGGGTTTCGCCGCCCGCTCCTTACCTTATTAACACAGGTTTTTTTTCTCTCCCCATCTGCCACAAGCAGCAGCAGAAACGACACAATCCAGAGCTCCGCCGGAACGTGACCATCAAAACTGAACTCCCCCTGGGCACACGTTAGTATGGGAGAGCGGGTCTCAGGCCTGGTCCTTGTTCTGGGGGCATCTTTAGGGAACCAGACTCCAGGATTCTGTTCCCACCTCAAAGGGATCTGAGCCCAGAGAAGCAGAGCAAAGCTCCTGGGGCTGAGAAGGGGTGGACTCCATTCCCCCCTGCTCCTGATCTCTCCTGTTTCCTCCTAGGGCGGAAGATGAAGCCACTACTACCACGGGTCAGCTCGTACCTGGTACCTATCCAGTTCCCGGTGAACCAGTCGCTGGTGTTGCAGCCCTCGGTGAAGGTGCCATTGCCGCTGGCAGCTTCCCTCATGAGCTCAGAGCTCGCCCGCCATAGCAAGCGAGTCCGCATTGCCCCCAAGGTGGGTGTCTTCTGTTTTACTCTAAAGAGAGATTCTGGCCAATGAAAAATGTTGGACCTCCAGTTTGCAAAGCACTCTGATAAGTGTTTCTCAAGAGCTTATAAATCTAGTTGGGTAGACAAGGCATAAAAACATAGGGAAATGTAATATCATTAGAAAAGCTAAACGGTATTTGGATTACAACATAAGTGGTGTCAGAAGGCCCATAAGTACCTGATGAGTTGGTAAGAATTCAGACAAGGGTGATTGTGGTAGATGGGCTAGGGAGGTAGCCTTAGAAAGAAGTGGATTTGAGGCTGGATGCTGTGGCTCACACTTGTGATCCCGACACTTTGGGAGGCTGAGGCGGCAATATTGCTTGAGGGCAGGAGTTCGAGACCAGCCTGGGTAACATAGCGAGACCCTAGTCTCTGCTATAAATGCAAAAAAAATTAGCCAGGGTGGTATTACATGCCTGTAGTCCCAGCTACTCAGAAGGCTGAGGCAGAAGGATCACTTGAGCCCAGGAGGTTGAGGCTGCAGTGTGCCCTGTTTACACCACTGCACTCCAGCCTGGGCAACAGAGTGAGACCCTGTCTCGAAAAAGGGAGGAAAAAAACGTAGATTTGGGTAAGCAAACAGGTGTGGAGAGAGCATGCTAATGGGCAATGTGCCATGGAGGCAGGAAATGGAGTTTGTACCTGCCAGTAGTAGAGTGACTGGGTCAGACTAGCTCAGGGTTTCTCAAGTAAGTCCTATTAATGTTTACAGCCACAGAATTCTTTGTTGGGCATGGAGGGGACTGTCCTGTGCATTAAAGGGTGTTGAGCAGCATCCCTTGGTTTCCCCACTAGATGCCAGTAGCACCCACCAGGTGTGACAATTAAATGCTTCCAGACATTGCCAAATGTCCCCTGGTGGGGAAAGAATCACCCCTGCTTGAGTGTCACTGGTCTAGCTTGAGGGAAAGGCGAGAAGGGTAAGTTCAGAGCAAACTTGGATCAGCTATCAAATCTGCACCTAAGGCTGTTCAAGAGTTTTGTGAGTAAGGGCTTCCCCAGTCCCCTTCAGGGAGATGGAACCAAACCAAACTGAAGGGCTTCCCCATTCCCCTTCAGGTAGATGGAAGACTCACGAAGACTCTAGAGTTTAGAGCCACTTGGGTTTGCTTTTATTTATTTATTTTTTTAATTTTTTTTTTTTCCAGATTAGTCAGGAAAATTTTTTTTTTATAAAATATTTTAGGCCATGCACAGTGGCTCACACCTGTAATCTTAGCATTTTGGGAGGCCAAGGCAGGAGGCTTGCTTGAGGCCAGGAATTCAAGACCAGCCTGGGCAGCAAAGCAAGACCCTGTCTCTAACAACAAAAAAATTTTTTTAATTAGCCAGGCATTTTTATATGTACCTGTTGTCCCAGCCACTTGGGAGATTGATTAGTTGAGCTCCGGAGTTGGAGGCTGCAATGAGCTATAATCGTGCCACTGCACTCCAGCTTAGGCAACAGAATGAGGCCCTGTCTCTAAAAGAAAAATTTTCTTTAATTATAAATTATAAATAAATAAATATATTACACAATTATACAAAGCATACATAATTTAGCATAAATGCATTAATGTGGTTGTTGTAGCATGTACACTTGTTTTGGTTTTAGTGCAGTGGTTTTCTTTTTCCCTCTCCTTTTTGGCTCCCCTCTGCACCCTACCTTTACCCTCATCACCTCTACTTCCGAGATAACATGTTGATAATTTAATATGCTTTATACATGTATAACTAAGAGCATATTTTATCCACGCTCTTAGTTATACGTATATAGCAATAGCCATTTTATATGTACACATATAACACATAGAACATTGAAAATGTGATCATGTTGTATGTGTTTCTCTACGTGTCTCTTTTTAACTCAACAATACTTCATGGAAATTCTTCCACATCACTTGGCATAGTTCTAATTCATTATTTTCTGATGTCCATAATATTCCATGATATGGTTATACCATAAATTTTCCAGCCACTCCACGTTTGTAAACATATTCTGTTTCTCAATTTTTGCCGAATGATATTGCAATAAATATGTTTGCAAGGATCTCTCTTACTAGTGCTTTCATTTCTCTGGGATAGAGTTCCAGACATGAGATTGCTAGGTGAGAATGTATTTTAAATTCTACTAAATATTACTATATTGCTTTACAAAAAAGCTGTGATAAGTCATGTTTAAACCAGCAATATATGATAAGATCTGTGTCTTTGCCAGAAATTGGTACTATCTGTCTGTTTAATATTTGCCAATCTAATGAGTATAGGTTATATCTTCTTGTTTAATTTTTTAAATGTTTTATTTATTTTAAAATTTTTTATTTCCATAGGTTTTTGGGGAACAGGTGGTGTTTGGTTAATGAGTTAAGTTCTTTAGTGGTGATCTCTGAGATTTTGGTGCACCCATTACCCTCTTGTTTAATTTTATCTTTCTTTATTTATCAGTAAGTCTGAGCACCTTGTCATTATATATATTTGGTGACTTGAAATTGTCCTCTATATGAATTGCTTATTTATGGACATTGCCCATTTTTCAGGTTTTGTTATCAATGTGTGAGAGCTCTTTTTTTTTTTTTTTTTTTTTTTTTTTTTTTTTTTTTTTTTTTTTTTTTTTTTTTTTTTTTTTTTTTTTTTTTTTTTTGAGACAGAGTCTTGCTCTGTCGCCCAGGCTGGAGTGCAGTGGTGTGATCTTGACTCACTGCAACCTCCACCTCCCGGGTTCAAGCAGTTCTTGTGCCTCAGCCTCCCAAGTAGCTGGGATTACAGGTGTGCGCCAACACACCCTGCTAATCTTTTTTTCCTTTCTGAGACAGAGTTTCATTCTTGTCCCCCAGGCTGGAGTGCAATGGTTTGATCTTGGCTCACTGCAACCTCTGCCTCTCAGGTTCAAGCAATTCTCCTGCCACAGCCTCCCAAGTAGCTGGGATTAGAGGAGCAGGCCACCATGCCCAGCTAATTTTTTGTATTTTTAGTAAAGACGGGGTTTCGCCATGTTGGCCAGGCTGGTCTTAAACTCCTGATCTCAGGTGATCTGCCTGCCTCAGCCTCCCAAAGTGCTGGGAATACAGGCATGAGCCACCCTGCCAGACCACTGTGAGAGCTCTTTGTTGTTAAAATAATAACCTTCTTTTACGCCGAAGATATTTTTCTACCTCTATTATTTATTTCTTTTCTTTTTTTAAATTTTATTTAGAGACAGAGTCTTGCTATGTTGCCCAGTCTGGAGTGCAGTGGTACGTGGCTCACTGCATCCTTCCTTGACCTCCCGGGCTCAAGTGATCCTCCCACCTCAGCCTCCCAAGTAGCTGGGACTACAGGTGCATGCCACCACATGCAGTTAATTAAAAAACTTTTTTTTTTTTGTAGAGATGGAATCTCACTATGTTGCTCAGGCTGGTCTCAAACTGACCTCAGTGTCCCAAAGTACTGGGATTACAGGCATTGTTTATTTCTTAACTTTGTTTATGGTACCTCTTGCCAGAGTAAAATTTTAAATTTTTATGTAGTCAAATGTCTCTCTTCTCTTTTACAGCTTCGGAGTTTCCAGTCTTGGTTAAGAAGGTCACTCCACCTTCAGATTGTATATGTAGTCTCCTAGATCCTCTTACAGGATTTGTATGGTTTTAAGGTTTTCTTTTTTTTTAAGCCAGTCAAATTTAGCAGTTGGGGGGATTGTGTACCAACTTTAGTGACAATAACGTCCCTTCCCGATACCATCAGAGCAGCCTAAGGTTCTAATTTTCATGTGTTAAATCTTCGTATACGGTGTAAGATAGGCATGCAATTTTATTTTCTCTCAGATGAAAGCTATTATAATTATGCCAGTACATACTATATACTCTCATCTTTTAACTACCAACTTCAGCATACATGACATTTTCATATTTAATAGATTTTTAACACTTTTTTTTTTTTTCTCCAGGTTTTCAGCATTTTAAGACTTTAAAACGACACAAAGAGGATCAGTAGCAATATGTGATTTTGCGTGTCCTGTCTGGTGACTGCAGGTTGAAGCAAGAGCTCCCTTTCACCTTGTCTCTGTTTCCCTTTCAGGTACTGCTAGCTGAGGAGGGGATAGCTCCTCTTCCTTCTGCAGGACCAGTGAAAGAGGAGAAACTCCTGTTTGGAGAAGGACTGTCTCCTTTGCTTCCAGTTCAGTCCATCAAGGAGGAAGAAATCCAGCCTGGGGAGGAAATACCACACTTAGTGAGACCCATCAAAGTGGAGAGCCCTCCCTTGCAAGAGTGGCCCTCCCCAGCCCCATCTTTCAAAGAGGAATCTTCTCCCTCCTGGGAGGATTTGTCCCAATCTCCCACCCCAAGACCCAAGAAGTCCTACAGTGGGCTCAGGTCCCCAACCCAGTGTGTCTCGGAAATGCTTGCGATTAAACACAGGGAGAGGAGGGAAATGAGCCGGTCTCGAAGGAAACAGCATCTAATGCCTCCCTGTGTAGATGAGCCAGAGCTGCTCTTCTCAGAGGGGCCCAGTCCTTCCCGCTGGGCCACAGAGCTCCCATTCCCAGCAGACTCCTCTGAGCCTGCCTCCCAGCTCAGCTACCCCCAGGAAGAGGGAGGACCTTTTAAGACACCCATTAAGGAAACAATGCCCATCTCCTCCACCCGGAGCAAATCTGTCCTCCCCAGAACCCCTGAATCCTGGAGACTTATGCCCCCAGCCAGAGTAGAGGGGCTGAATTTCAGCCCAGTACAAACTCCGCAGGGTACATTTGGCCCCTTGCCTGACCCCCTGGGGCTGATGGATCTCAGCACCACCCCACTGAAAACCATTCCCACCTTTGAATCACCGCAAAGGCTCCTCAGTTCAGAACCCTTAGACCTTGCCTCCGACCCCTTTGGCAACTCTTCTCCCTCAGATATGGAAGTCCCCAAGCCAGGCTCCCCGGAGCCACAGGTTTCTGGCCTTGCAGCCAATCGTTCTCTAACAGAAGGCCTGGTTCTGGACACAATGAATGATAGCCTCAGCAAGATCCTGCTGGACATCAGCTTCCCTGGCCTGGAGGAGGACCCACTGGGCCCTGACAACATCAACTGGTCCCAACTCATTCCTGAGCTACAGTAGAGCCCTGCCCTTTCCCTTGTGCTCAAGCTGTCCACCACCCTGGGCGCTCCTGTGGCTGGGCAGTCCAAGGCTCACTGTATGCCACGCCTCTGAGTTCGGACAGCAGGCAGAGACTGTTCTGCTACTCCTAGCTCCCTGCTGCCTGATTATGCAGAGGTAGCAGTCACACCCTAGTCGCTGCTGGGACCTTATACTGCCCAAGAGAATCTGATTCCTCTGCTGTCCCTCCCAGGAGCTGAAGGGTGGGAACGACAAAGGCAATGGTGAAAAGAGATTAGGAACTCCCCAGCCTGTTCCCATTCTGTGCCCAGCAATCTCTCACCTTCCCTGATCTTTGCAGGGTGGCCCTTGTAAATAGTGTAAATTCTCCAAATTATCCTCTAATTATAAATGTAAGCTTATTTCCTTATATCATTATCCAGAGACTGCCAGAAGGTGGGTAGGATGACCAGGAGTTTCAGTTGACTTCTCTTCCTTGCTTTTAGTTCTAAGAGAAGGGAGGACCTGCAGTACACGGTTTCTTCCAGGCCAAGGCACCTGGATCTTGGGTTCTTTACTGCAGGCACCAGACAAGTGGATCTGCTTGCCAGAGTCCTTTTTGCCCCTCCCTGCCACCTCCCCATGTTTCCTAGTCAGCTTTCCTGCAAGAAGACATCCTGGTTAAAAAGGTCTTTTGTATTGGGTCAAGAGTTGAAATTGGGGTGGGAGGATGGATGCAACTGAAGCAGAGTGTGGGTGCCTAGATGTGTGCCATTAGATGTTTCTCTGACAACGTCCCTAATCATACCAAGGGGACTAGCATTGGCAAGAACTCAGGTGGAGGCTTAAGAAGGCTGAAAGGGCCCCTGACCTGCCTGACTTCCTTATCTTGCCCCTCAGCTTTGCAAAGAGCCAGCCTAGGCCCCAGCTGACCTCACAGGTACGAGCCGACTTGAGAACACTACTGTTAACTACCTACTCAATAAAAGCCAGGGTGGACATGCTGGGCTCTGTGGTTTGTTGGTGTCTGACTCCTAAGGAACAAGGAGAGGTTGGAAAAGGAAGAGGGTGTTGATGGAGACAGTGGTGATAGGGAAGAGGCAAGGCCTCAAGTTAACCCAGAGAAGTACTTGGAGCACACAAAGGGATTGAGAGGGAATCCCCTCCTTCCTGCCCCTTGCACAGGCACACGCATTTCACAGCACAGATTGCTAGTTTTCCCCAGTGCTAGTCCTGCACAGCTGACCTCTTTTCCCTGTCATCTCCAACCTGTTCCTTGAGACCTCTGGGCCTGCTGGTTAACTTAGGCCTTTTGGGTATTCCTTAATAAGAGAAAAGCTCACAAGGGGTAGGGCCCCCTGAACATTAGGGCAGGATGGCCCCAGATACAGGTGCTTCATTCCAACTGCCATCCCCACGCTGAGGCTGGGAGCCAGCCTGCCCTACCTTTCTGCCCAGCAGCAGCTCCTGTTACCATCTTTTGCAGTCAGAACTTGAAGAGAGCGCTATCCCCTGCCTGTCTCACCTGAAAGGCAGCCAGGGGCCCAAGGGACAAAAGAGCCTCCAGCAACAGGAGAGGGACTCCTCTGTGTCACCACTCAGCATCACCATAGCAACCCTAGGAGTAAACAATGGTGCCAGAAAGGGCTTCCCCTTAAGGCCATCCTCCCAGCTCTGAACCCCAGAAGAATGGCCAGTAACCAGCAAAGATCACTCAGAGGGCCAAGTCACCCACTTCATGTGGAAGAACCATTCCTGCAGGTAGGGGTGGGCCTCTCTGCTGCCTACCTTTTTGTACCCCACTGGGCTACAGGCTGTCCCCTGTGGTGGGCCAGGCTTTCTCCTGGGGCGCAGACTGCCTGGCCCATACATTTTCTGCTGTTTTCCCATTTTGTGCTGTGACACTGGGAACCTGGAGCTCAGAACAGAGAGGAGATGCCTGGCTAGTGCCACATCTCCCAGCCCCACCCATTGGGATGTTCTTACAGAAATGACTTAGGGGACCAAGCCCAAGAAACAGGTGGGTTTTTGCAATCAGGAAAGTCCCTAGGCTCACGCCTGTAATCCCAGCACCTTGGGAGGTCAAAGTGGGCAGATGACCTGAGGTCAAGAGCTTGAGACCAGCCTGACCAACATGGTAAAACCCTGTCTCTACTAAAAATACAAAATTAGCTGAGCATGGTGGCACGAGTCTGCAATCTCAGCTGCTCAGGAGGCTGAGGCAGGAGAATCACTTGAACCTGGGAGGCAGACGTTGTGCCATTGCACTCCAGCCTGGGCATCAAGAACAAAACTCCACCTCAAAAAAAAGAAAAGAAAAAGAAATGTCCCTGGGGATGAATAGGACGTAGGAGTATTTTGAAAGAGACACTTCTTTTCTGAGGAGAAATTCATGAAAAAAAAAAAGAGAGATACTTCTTGTTGCAGTCAGGCACTGTGCCAAGGCCGTTTCATTTCACACGGCATGGTATGCCAAGCAGAAGCACAGACAGAGGGTTTAAGTCCTAGCTGTCACTCAGGCACTCAGCACCCTGCGTGAGTTACCTGCCCTCACTGTGTCTTGCTTTCTGCATCTTTGAGATGGGCACAATAGCAATACTTGCTCATAGAGTTGTAGGGGTTAAATAAGATGTGTACAAGTATTTAGCACGTGTCTATATGCATTTGCTGCTGTTTATTTCACAGTGGTAGGGTGCAGAAAGGGAAAGGAGCTGCCATTCTAGATGTTTTCTATACTAGCATTTTAATGAGGAGTGGGAGGAAAGCGTCCATGACAGAGAAACGAGTATTGAGAGGAGTCTGGGATGGGAAAACACCTGGCCCTATTTTCTGGGGAAGGAGGTTTCTGGTATGTCACCAAGACCAGGAGCAGGTGAAGGTGGGCTGCCCCCTTGGCATGCTAGGGGCATTTCCCTTCATGATTACCTCCGGCCTGAATGTGACTTCTAAACAGCACCAGTTCCTGGGTGGGAATGTGGGGACGCCAGAATGGAGGAGGGAGGTGAAGGCAAAGAGCGAAAGCTGAACACAGAGGATGGGATGTCAAAGCCAAAATATGGTCAATGGCAAGAGAACAAAAGCTGAGTGATCATGAGAATGATACATTAGAATTATACGGAGCAGCCGTAACTTCCGCTGGGTAGGAGAGAGACCCCGCCAGGCCTTCTGTGTCCTGATGAGAATCCTGGGCTGGAGGAGGCTGTGCCTGGGAAGGAGAGCAGAGTGCCTCGCCCACCTTTCTGCGCCCCTGCCCACACAACCTTCCCCAGGCTCCCTTTTGTCTCTCCCTAGATGGTCCAGGCCAGTGAGAACCTCCTGCCCTCCCAGACGTGGGCTCAGCGTGAGTTCTTTCTCCCTGGTGAGTCCTGGGAGTTCCCTGGCTTCACGCGGCAAGCCTACCACCAGCTGGCGCTGAAGCTGCCGCCCTGCACAGATATGAAGTCCAAGGTGCGGCAGCGGCTCGTCCACCCTTGGAAGGGTGCCAACCAGCACACCTGGGGCTTTCACACGTGGCTCGATGTGGGCCGTCTGCCTGCCACCTTCCCCACCCGGCCTGACAGGCCCTACGATAGCAATGTCTGGCGCTGGCTGACCAACTCCAAGGCCCACAGACGTCCCCCCGCAGAGCATCCCATCCCCCCTCCCTCCTGGATGGGACAAAACAGCTTCCTGACCTTCATCCACTGTTACTCCACATTCGTGGACATGAATAGGAAGAAGCAGGTGATTTTCAGGACAGTGAAGGAGTTGAAGGAGGTGGAGAAGCTCAAGTTGAGGAGTGAGGCAAGGGCTCCTCCACTAGATGCCCAGGGCAACATCTGGCCTCCGGCGAGCTTCAAGAAGTAAGACGGTGCCTCCTCCGGGAGCCCACTCAGCCTGCCCTGCCCAGGTGACCCCTCCCTCTCTCGGGCTCCTGTTTCTAGCCAGTGACTCTGCCCTTCCCACCTCTGGCCATCTGTAAACCAAACTCTTCTGAGTGTCGCTGGAAGGATAAGGTAGAGACAAGGGAAGGACAGAGAGTGGAGACATGACATTTCACTAAAATCTGGGGGGACAGCTAGGCAGGTGACACCTGCTAGGCACTGGGGATACAGAGAAGTGTGATTCAGTGCCTGCCCTCAAGGAGCTTTGCAAAGAGAGCAGTCAAAACAAGGATACTTGTGCAAAGGACCCTGAGTGTGAGACAGAGCAAGTGTTTTAAGGAAGTCAGTTAGTAATGGAAAGAACTGGAGTGAAAGCTGGAGCCCGAAGATTTGGAGTACAGTTCCAACCCCATCCCCGTGGTGAGGTGTCCAGGTTCTCCAGCCTCAGCTCCGTCCAGGAAGGGGGATCCTTAGGTACCGACCTCACTGTGGGAGGATAAACTGAGCTAGTGAATAGGTGGAAGAACTCAGCAGAAGTTAGACATTATTACAGAAATTCAGGAGAGAAGGGTTGCAGTGAGCTGGAGTGTCCCTGCCTCAGGGAGGCTTCATGGGGAAGTCAGGGTTTGGGATGAAAGGGTGGAAACCCTGCAGACAGCTAAAAACAGTGGCTGGGGCCCTCCAGGCAGAGCTGAGAAGTCACAACCAAGTCAAGGACGTGAGAGGAGCCACTGTGAACCCCGCAGCGCCCCCTCCCGGCCACCCAGGGAACTCACGGGTGCTTCCCTACGGTGTCCAGCCCGGGCACTGAGCTTGCAAGAGTAACAGGAAAACCGGAGGGCAATGAAGAGGGAATGTCTCAAATTCCAATCCCGAGGGCACGGCCAAGGTACTGGGGAGTTGCAGCAGGAGGTTGTGGGGATTTTTAATCTAAAAAAAAAAAAGTGGCCGGGCGCGGTGGCTCACGCCTGTAATCCCAGCATTTTGGGAGGCCGAGGCGGGTGGATCACCTGAGGTCAGGAGTTCAAGACCAGCCTGGCCAGCATGGCAGAACCCCATCTCTACTAAAATTACAAAAATCAGCTGGGCATGGTGGCATGTGCCTATAATCCCAGCTACTAGTGGGGCTGAGGCAGGAGGATGGCTTGGACCTGGGAGGTTTCAGTGAGCTCAGATTGTGCCACTGCACTCCAGCCTGGGCAACAGAGAGAGAGCCTGTCTCAAAAAAAAAAAAAAAAAAAAAAAAAAAAAATTAGGCCAAAGGTTGGTGAGAGATCAGTCCCCTTCTTGAGGACCCAGGTTTCTCCCTGCTGCCCTTGCCCTGAAGATGGCCGATTGCTGACAGGTACTGACCCTGGGCACACAAAGGGGAGAAAGAGAGCACACCAGAGCAGTTCACAGTGGCAAGACAGTGCCAGGTGGTGTTCTGAACACTTCACTGTATTATTTAATCCCCCAGGACCTTGTGACTAGAAACTATTAACCCCATCTTTTTTTTTTTGTTTGTTTGTTTTTGTTTTGAGGTGGAGTCTTTCTTTTTTGCCCCGGCTAGAGTGCAATCTCAGCTCACCACAACCTCTGCCTTCTGGGTTCAAGACATTCTCCCTGCCTTAGCTTCCCAAGTAGCTGGGATTACAGGCGCCCACCGCCACACCCAGCTAATTTTTGTATTTTTTAGTAGAGACAGGGTTTTGCCATGTTGGCCAGGCTGGTCTTGAACTCCCAACCTCAGATAATTCACCCGTCTTGGCCTCCCAAAGTGCTGGGATTACAGGCGTAAGCCACCATGCCAGGCCTCATTAACCCCATTTTACAGGTGGTCTATCTGAGATGGAGAGGTCAAGTATCTTGCCTAGCCAAGCGTGGTGGCTCACACCTATAATCCCAACACTTTGGGAGGCCAAAGTGGGAGGAACGCTTGAGGCCAGTTCAAGACCAGCCTGGAGCACCCTGTTAGACCTCGTCTCCACAAAAATATCAAAAAAATCAGCCAGGCATGGTGGTATATGCCTGTAATCCCAGCTACGTGGTAGGCTGAAGTGGGAAGACTCTCTGAGCCCAGGAGGTTGAGGCTGCAATGAGCCATCACTGTGCCACGCACTCCAGCCTGGGCAACATGGTGAGACCCTATCTCAAAAAAG